ACACTGAGACGACGCTCCTGATGCCAAAAATTTATTGTGAAGAACACCACATCTGAGTTCTGGTATTATCAGCTCAGTGTGTAGTCACTGGCCTGCCGTCCCCTCTTTCCGGCCTGGGGCTTGTCGGCCCCGGACACGCGTCACTGAGACGCAAGCCTGGGCTACGTGTTCACAGGAAACAATCATCAAGGTGGGAACGGAATGCAGAATAGACCAGAGGAAAATACCGAGAAATGCCTAGTTCCTGCTGAATGTGGAAAGTTTTCTTTCTGCCTTTCTTTTTTGCTTTTTTTTTAAAGAAATGCTAAAGATAACTGTATTTCCTCTTGAGGCTTACTTAAAAAAAAAAAAAAGCCAGTATGTGGCCAACCAGAGAAAAAAACAGGATTTTTGATGGCACTGGAATTTGTTAAATGAATGTCATGTGATACCGAAGTCAGCATGTGAAGCTATAAAAGTGATTAATTTGGATTTCTGAGACTTTCAGCCCTTTTCTAAAAACGTTTTTCAGAGAAAATCTTGACAGAAACTGGCAGTTATTTGGGTTACAAGAAAATGAACTTTCTGTGACATTGAATTTAAAATGCCGTGGGGTGAATTTTTCTACCTAATAATTTTAACTAGTGTTGTTTCTTTGGTGCTTTGTCTTTAGTCAAAGAAGGTATTTTTTCTTTTGCATAAATATGAAGCCAGCTTGACTTGGGTTTGAGAGATTTTCTTTTCTTTTTAACCTATTGCTTTAAAATATGTTGATACCATTATGTTAAAAGCTACAAAAAATAAGACACAAAATGGACTCAGGCTTAATAGAACCAAAGACCAGTCTGAATGAAATGTTAAAATGTTAGAGCTGAAATAGAGTTATTGATTATGGCCAGTACCTGAGCGGTTTTGAGATAGGATCAGAAAGCAAGTTCGGCTTATTCTCTCCCTTTGAAATGTAGTCAGGGAGGGGGCCTTGGAAGAAAATTTAAGACAGTTCCACAGTTTCCTGACAACATTCAGTTACTAAAAAGTCTCATGGTTAGTTTAAGTTGTGAATCCTGGCTCCATTTTGTCTTAGAATGTCTCATCTGGTTTAACGGCCTTGATTTTAATCTAAACTTACCCTCTCCACCAGCCGGGGTCCTGGGTAAGCAGGGGAGGCCCCACACACTGCACCCAGGTTCCTGTGTGAGCAGTGACCCCGTGCCCAGGTATTTGCTCACAAATCCCTCTGCGGAGGTCCCACTGCCCAGGGACAGGGCCTGTGACTTCCTTCTTTCTTATTCTGCTGATATCGGTGTCCAGGTCAAGGGAATGCTGAAGCCAGGGCTTGTCCTATGTGGTATTGTTTTTTTAAAGGAAAGTAAAGCTCAGAGAGATTAAATAACTCTCTGGGCTTGTCCATCAATAATTAGCCCTGCCCAGAGCCGAGGACTCCTGAGAGTCAGGCAGTCCTGACGGGACAGGACCCGTGGCTCTGGGGCCACGGCCAGCGTGCCAGCCGGTGGGCAGTGTGGCGAGAGCCAGCACCAGGGCCAAGGGGCACTGGGCCCTTCACAGCATGCTTCTCAAAAGAAAACCATGCTGAGAACAAAAGCACCTTTTAAAAAAAGTCTTGGGCTTTTTTTATATGTAGAGCTGCTAGGGACCTGCCTCTCTTACTGATATTGCCTTGGGAGAAGGGAGTTAAGTTTCTTCAAGTGTGCCAGGAAATAGGCTGCTTGTCTTGTCTGAAAATACATCTGTGTAAAATCTTAGGTATATTAGCATCTACAAGATGGGATGTACCTAACGTATGTCCTGAGGTAGATAGTATGTGACAGATACAATGCCTATATACATCCTGAAAAGAGCAACCCCCTGATGCTGCCCAGCGTGGATTTTCTCCTTGACCAGTTCCTGTCTCGTTCGCCAGCTGGCAGAGTTCAGCAATGGGGGTGATAATGGAGAAAGAATACTATAGAGATCAAAGCGAAAAGCCCAGAGTTTGATGTTCCCTGGCAGCTCGGGAAGAGCTTTGCGGTCGGCCACGGATGGGTGATTTCCTCTTCGCTGCTCCAATCAGGACTCTGCCCAGGGGAAGGCAGCGCTGTGGCACAGCTCCTCGAGGCCCAAAGCCATAGAATTTGTGTTACCATGGAAACCGTACTAGGTCTCTGCCCTGTGCTCCACAGTGTAACTGGGCCTTTCTCAATGAAAGCCTGCTAGCTGCATTTGCTGGGCAAGGAAAATGAATGAACAGGAGACCGCGTGGGGCCCTGAGATGCATGCAGAGACTCACCAGCCCGGGAGAGCCAGCCCCTTGCTGATGTCATCCCTCCCTGGAGCAAGGGTGCAAGGAGAGCAGCGGGAACCAGACGGTCTGAGTCATGTGGCGCTGTCTTTCCAGCTGCCAGACAGACCAGCACTGACCACAGTGTCCAGCTGGAAAGAAAAGAGCAGGCCGGAGACCTCTCCGCGAGTCTGCCCTCTGCCCTTCAGCATGCTGAGCGCCCGTTCTGCCGTGCGCTTTCCGGTGCTGTGTGCACTGGGACCCCCAGTGTCTTTGGGGCACAGTCTCCCCACAACACCCACTGGCACAGAGGCAGAGAGCTGGCAGAGAAATTCACAAGGAGTGAATAGGCTTCAAGGCGAAGGCAGGCTCCATCCCGAGGAGGTCCCTGTGGGGGCTACTAGGGACCTACGCTGTTACAGGAGGGGACCCTCCTGTCCCCTCAGCTGAGCTAGTGACAGGCAGCTGCCCCGCATGCACGTCCCCACTCTGCCCTCCCAAAGCCACCTCCTCTGCTCCAACAGCCAGAAACATTCTTAGAAAAGCAAACACTGAAACTCTCAACTAATGATGAGCAAATTTTACTCACAATTAGGAGCGTCATAAAGATTTTACATTCTTATAATGAAGGTCAGTTGAAAAATAGCACATTTCCCTGAATTCTAGTTCCTTCCCATTATCAAGTTCTAAACCTTCTGCCAGACCTATCAATTTGATAGTTTTGAGCCATTGATTCCCCCTTAAAAAAAAGAGACAGAGGGGTATAGATTAGAGCAGAAGTTGGCCAGTCGTGGCCAGTGGGTGAACATGGCCCAGCCCGTGGTTTGGCTGGAGCACTGTCCACGCATCAGCACACTTCTGTGCCACAGCAGCCGAGCTGGGCAGCTGGATGGGGGCCGCCTGGCCCTCAGAGACCGACGTATGCTCTGTCAGCCCCTGGAGTAAATGATGAGGCTGTTTTCAAGCTGTACCTGACACAGGCTTGTTCTTGGAGGGCTGACTCTGGCTTTCCAGGGGACTAGGGTCGAGGCAAACCTCTGTGTGTCCTGCAGCAGCTGGTCTAGATGAAGTCCGGGCTCCTGACCAGCCAAAGCCGTCGGGAGGCCCTGCGCACAGTCCAGTTCCTGAAGCAGAGAAACCAAACCCACCTGCAAGCTTGCAAGTGCCATTTATTGCCCTCCAAGTTCCCCACAGTAACTCCTGGGTTTGCTGCCCCAGAGCAACCCTGCCAAAGAGCCTCGGCCCCTGTGGCCCGCTGGAGGGCCTTTGGAAGCAGCCTTGTGGTCCTTTGGCCTCCGATGGCTTTGGGGTAGTGTCAGCAGCTGTGGGGCTTCGGGCCGAGTCTTCCTCCAGAGCCCCTCACTGAGATTCAGTGTCACACTGGGCACGGGCTGAGTGAAGCCAGGGAGCTGCTCACAGGGAAGGCAGCTGGGACCGGTTATTTAGGGAAATGCGGGCTTCAAACACAGATGGAGTGGAACGGAATGGGGGCGTCGAGGTGTCTTGTTTTCCAAAATAAACTTCCTGACTTCATTTAATCGGCATCTTGGTGACTTGGGCTCTGCTTTGGATAGAAACCTGGCCACTTCCTGCAGTGGTAGTTCATGGCTTAGAGTAAATGTGGGAGGAGAACAGACGTAGGCAGATGAGCCATTTGATAAGAACTGGCCATCTTCCTGTGCTCCTTTTTTCCCATCCTTACTATTGTCCAAACACCTGCCGTGTGCCTCCCAACGGGCCAGGTTGTGAGGCCGCAAGACGGAAGACGCAGGCCTGGCCTCTGAACTTTGTCCTGGGGAGGCACACAGGAAGCAGACAGAGGGCAGCGCCTGGGCCACGGTGGGCAGGCGCTTCTGGAAGGGCGGTCAAGCAAGGTGTCCAGGACATGCGAGGCCGGAGGGCCAACGGGGTATTGCGGGCAGCCACGGGCATTCTGGGTGCAGACAGCCGTGCCCTGAAGGACTCTGAGGGTGTTTGCAGTGGGGTCAGAAATGGGGACTGGCTGGAAGGGAGGAGAGCAAGCCAGGCAGGCACCAGGTCAGGAGGCGACAGCATGCTTGCATGGTCTGCACGGTCCCCTTGCTGTTAAAAAAGTGAAGCCGGGCAGTCGCACACACTCTCTGTCTGCAGCCCTGCAGGGCCCTCGGCCTCTGGAGTTTGACTTGCCTGCTTTGTCTCCCTGTCCTAGAGGTGCTCCTGGACCCTTGTCGGACGTGGTGCCCGGCATCCACCTGCCAGGCCGTGTGCCAGCTTCAGGAGATGGGGCTGCAGACCCCTCAGCTGGTGCAGTGCAAAGCATGTGACCTGGAATTCTGCTCGGCCTGCAGAGCCAGCTGGCATCCCGGCCAAGGCTGCACAGAGACCATGCCAATCACCTTCCTGCCTGGGGAGACCAGGTACCCTGCACTCACTGGCCACCGCGGAAGGCATGGGCTGAGGGCTGGAGGAGGCTTCCTCCCTAAGCACCCCACCGGGGAGGACATGGTTGCATCGAGACCGGTCTCTTCCCCTTGAGTCATTCAAACCTGGGTTCGTTTATTTTCAGCTTTTGAGAACTGAGCATATGCCAGGCACTGTGCAAGGCCATGGAAATGCAAAGCCTGGGAAACAAACTACAGCCTACCTATCTAGGAGGACAAACTTAGGGCAGGAAGGGTTTTAAGTCCCGTGACACCTCAAGTTTTTCTGAGACACCATTATTTTGAAGGTGACAGAGGCAGGGGTGCAGGAGCAGGAAGTAGAGTAGGTGAGCAGTGGTTATAAATTCCAGAAGGATCACCAAAAACAGGTTTTCCAGTGTCTGAGGCCAAGGGGGCCACATCTTGCTAAAGGAGTGAGCCTGTCAGGATGGACACAGTAAATCGCAGTGTGTCTCTGCCCGCGACCCCCGGCTGGACTGTCAGGCCGGATCCCAGGTGGCACTGCAGCTGAGTACCTTGAAATTAAGCAGATTGAGCCATGAGCAATTGATAACATTCAGCTCTTTTTGTCCTAAAAATCTGTAAGGGGACGTGGTTCACCTAGACCGAGGGGCCCTGCACTTCCTGAGGCCATGCTCCTGACAGATGCTCCTGACGCTGCTCGCCCAGAGGCATTCCCACCAGCTCCCCATCTTCCTCTGCCACTCTGCTGCTCCCACTCCCCCTCCTTACAGCCCATCTGCACAGACACCTGGCTGGCGTCCCTCGGGCGATACTTCTGTCTCCCGTCCGCATGTCTGTGCCTATGCCTGGAACGCCACTAGCCACCCTCCTCCTTTCCCTGCAGACCCCTTGACAGCTTTGAAGATGTGGCTCACATCCCTCTTTTGTCACCCTCTCTAGTTCCCAGGGCCAGGCCGGTGACCCCACCCTCTGTGGCCCCCATGGAGGTCGTTGGCGTTGATTACAGCACCAGCCGTGTTGTGCTTTAGTTTCTGTGTTTACGTGGCTGATGCCCCATCAGGCTGAGCTCCTGACATCACAGCCTGGGCTCTTTTGAACTTTGTCACCCCAGATCTTGGCAGAGAGCAGGCACTCGAAACCAGAATGAATCACGTGTAATTTGGGTCTTACTGCTCTGGAATTTTGCAACAAGAAATGCATTTCTTGTGTGGTCAGATTGTACATAATTAGGGGAGCTGGATTTCCAGGGTGGGGAATAAGTAAGTAGAAGGCAGGTTGGGGTATTTGCAGTGACAGTTGAGTTTTCTGTTTAAAAAAGAAACCTCCTATCAAGTAAGCAAGTGGGTTCCTACATTCTATGACTCAAGAAAACCAGGAGTGAGAAAGAACCTGTGTCCTGCTCCTGGATGGGAAAGCAACACAAGGGCAATTTAAATCAACATTTGTAAGACTCATTTAGTGAAAATTTAAAAATCAAGAGATTTCACATAAAAATCTGAATACTGGCTTTTCCAGTGACACTGTTTATATTCCTACTTGCTGACAATTGACTAGAATGGAGCAGAGCCTCCCTCTTTAGGAAGGTATTTGTGCTAGCTGTAGTTTGCCACAGTCCTCACCACTCCCTCTTGTCCTTCTGGCCCTGGGACTGATTGTCAGGGATCATTTATAACAGAATATGCTCAGCTATCTTCATACAGTAGAGTCTTTTTTAAGTTAAGCCTTCCCTTAACCCATGTTCCCATCCACCATCTGACCAGCTTCAGTCATTAATGTTGCATGTCTGTCCCTTAAAGACATTAGAACATAGAGATTATGATGAAGCTGTTAATAACTCCTATCTCTTCATAAATTTGAGTTTATAGTTAAGAATTGTTATTCATCATAATTTGAAATATAATCCAGATACCAGAAAGTGTTTGAAAACCATTGTGTATACTATGTAAATTTATAAGCATGCCACAGCTTACACATCTTAACTTTGCTTTTTAAAAAGCCTTACCGAAACAGTCTTCACTCTCGCCTATTACGTACCTCTTCATAGCATTTCCTTCTAAATTAGCTTATGAGTCACATGAGAAAATTGGTTTCATTACTTTCAGGTCACACCTGGCTTTCAAACCAGAACAATGTTATCTACCCTGATAACCAACCTTAATCACTGGATTTGATGCCTCATGACTTGCAGCTTTTTGCAGAAATCAAATTCACTCTCAGAAGCAGGCCACAGCTAGTGTCTGCACAGATGCCTGTGTGCCGGGTCGCGTGGGGGGCACTCGCACCTGCGTTACCTCCTTTGCCTGTGTTCATTGGAAAGCCTGGTCTGTAGTTTGCCTTTACATTGGAGAAGAATTTTAGCTAGAGATGGTTTTATCTCTCAGTGAGAGTATTAGTAACAGCTACCACGTATTGAGTGCTCACAATTGTGTGCCCCATTCTGTGTGTCTGCACTAAACACACAAACACTCTTTCAGGTTTCACCACACCCCTCTAAGGTGGATGCAGTTAGCCTCATTTCTGGATGAGGACACGAAGACTGATGATACGTAAATGGCACAGCTGGGACTTGTCTGTCTCCAGACTCCGTGCCCCTAACTACAAGGCCATGCTGCTTCCGTCCAGCATAACATAACAGGTCCCTTTCTTCTCGTAAACAAAACGTAGCCACATTCAGCTGGAGCACATGCTTCATAGCGGAGGAGCCTTGAGTTTCAAAAAACCCTATGGGTTTAATCATATGGAAAACTCAGTAATCACCAGATAACGCATACAAAATGAAACTTTTTAATGCTTTTATTTACTCTGACGCTTGTGGAAGATCCTATAGACAGGTGCACTCAAAGTGCAAAAATTTGCTCAACCTCCATGAGCGTGTGCTTATGAATGCATTAAGTTCTAAAAGGGCTTCTCACTCCAGTGGGAAATCTTTTTTGTCATGGTGATGCCGGAATGAGGCAGTGAGTTCAAACAATAGAGCAAACGTGACCCGATGATCAGTGGCAACTTCTCTTAGCTGTTTGTTGTTTATTCTTCCTGGTGGGCTCATGCTTATTTTTTAACTGTCTTTTTAATGTTAATAACAGGAACAGACATCCTTCCATAGTCATACATAAATATCAATGTTATTTTTCATTAGCAGATAGAAGGACAGCTACCACTTATCGGGCATACACGCTTGATACCGCACTGTGCTCTTACCGTACCAAACTCTCTGATTATGCTCACACTGATGAGAAGGCTGTGATGCAGCGAGTTTACCGAGGAGCCCTTGACCCCAGGCTTAAAGCCTTCATGCTGACCACTGCCTTCTAAGCAGACTTCTCAGGAAAATGATTTTGTAAAGACAAGCCAGGTAGATCTAGCTAAGTGATTATTTTTTTCTGGTAATAGCAAAGTGCATAAAATGATCATCAACCCTTTGAAAAGTATGCAAATATGAATAAGGACATAAAATTCTCCATAATCCTGTTACGCGGACACCTCCATTATAAGCTGTTACCACATGGTCTTGTCTACAGATACCCAGGTTTAGATACGCACAGACATTGCTCTTCTCATTTCCCCTAAATCAAACTAGTTGGTTCACTGAGGTTTTGGTGATTTTTCTCCCAAGTTTTAGTTTTATTGGTTTTGTTTTCTTTCATCTAATAGCAAGTGCCCTTGGCCCGGTGCTGTGGGGCTAATGCTTCCAGCGCAGCCATGCTGGCCGCTCTCCCCCGGGTCCCTCCGAGCAGAGCCTTACAGAATTTCTCCCGCAGTTCGGCCTTCAAACTGGAAGAGGACGATGCGCCCATCAAGCGCTGCCCCAAGTGCAAGGTGTACATAGAACGGGACGAGGGCTGTGCACAGATGATGTGCAAGAACTGCAAGCATGCCTTCTGCTGGTACTGCCTCGAGTCCCTCGACGTGAGTACAGCCTCGAGCTCCATGCTGGTGCCTTTCCCTGAGGTTCCGTCTTGGAGCGGGGAAGCATGCCAGCCACTTCCTAGAGGAAGACTTTAGAGGACACTCCTGTAAAAGAGAAATAATGTTATCAGACATTTTTTGTGTGTGTGCTTCTAAAAATATTAATTCATGGAGTGCAATGGTTTCAGAAAACAGTAATTTGTGCAGGAGATCTGGGGAGCAAAATGTCAGCGCAGGCATGGGATTCAGCATGGGTGGAGACGGTCGTAGGATCTCAGGTTTCATCTGCGGCGAGTCTTAGCTCAGGCTGTTGTCACCGAGCACAGGTGGGCGGCTGCAACAACGCACATTCATTTCTCACGGGTCTGGAGGCTGGAAGTCCAAGCTCAAGGGACTGGAAGATTTGATTCCTGCAATTTGCCACTCCGTATAACTTCTCCCAAAGGGGAAGGAAAGTGAAATGCCAGTTTTGCTCCATGTTATCAAACGTCCTTGAAGATTTGTTAAGGGAAGTATTCAGAACAAACACACAAAAAGTTTGATTTCCAGAGCGATCTTTGTTTCTTCTGCTACCCCCCAGTGCTACCTTGATTCACTTACAAGGCTTGGGAGGAAGCCCCACTGGCTTTCTCCTTCGAACACAAAGCTGTTTCCTGTGTGTTCTGGCCTCTGGAGAAATACTCGCTCTGACCCAGTTCTGTAGCCTGTCGCACCTGTGTAGACGGCCTTGGTGCATCTGGCTCTGCCTGGACGGCAGACCAGGGAGCCAGTCTGCACTGTCCCTCCTGGAAGGACACCTGTTTTTCTTTTGTAAATGAAGAGCTGCCAAAACTGACCGTGTGGCCACAGAAAGCAGATTCTGAAAGAAAGGGAGCCTGCTCTTGGAGCGATTCGTCAAGAGCAATAGCCGCGCTTTAAAAAAAGAAAGAAAACAAAAAAAAAAAAAAATGGGATCTCCCCTGCGGTCTCCCTCCTCAGGAATCTGTCCCCTCCAGGCACCGTCTGCTGCACGTGCGCCTCAGGAAGGTGTGAGTGGCTGTGGGCCGCTTCCTTCGCTCCTGCTCCCTGTTCCCCTCTCCTCTGCACCCGGGCCCAGCCCTGGACTCTTCCCTGGAATCTAACCTGGTGTGGCTCACACTCTGTCTCCGCTTCTCCACCATAAATGTCCTCCCAACATGCGCTACTTACAGTGGGAAGAGACACACATACTTTCTTCACTTTTTTTTTTTAGGGGGCTATAATTTAGCATTTATTGAAGTACTTGGTATAGACCAGCACTGCAATTTCTTCTACATCCCTGCTTTATTTAATGCACATATTCTTCCTCTGAAAGTTGAAGTTAGCTACTCTTTTCAAGGGGAAGTCCAAGAATTGAGAGTCTTTCCAAAAAGCACTAAAGGAAGGAGGAGGGACCGGTGCCCACCCTCTGATCTTTCTGTGTCCGAAACCCGACAGCTGTGGGTTACACAGGCTGCTGCAACCAGCTTGAGCCAAAGCTCAAACCTCAGGGTGGCTGAATGGCCCCAGGGAATTTATTTTTATCTTGAACAGTTCACTGACTGCAGTTTCTGTAGCAGGACCCATTGTTTCTGCTTCCACGGTGAGGCTCAATGAAACTTCTCTGAACAGTAGTCAGGGAAATGGTCCCCCTTACAAAACGCCCCTAGGCTCCTGGCCGGTCGGGGCTGGTTATGCTCAAGGGCTTCATCCCTATGCTTGAAATCACTGAAGTCATTTATATATTGTAAAAGCAGCTGTAGAGGGGTCTCCGCGGGGAGAAGAAAGGTGCCATCTGAACGAGCTTCCTTTTTGTTGGGAAGCTCACCATGACCATGAGGACCTTGTGATCGCCCTGTTTTTTCAGTCTGTGTTTCAATAAAATCAAACACTACTCAGGATCCTCCAGTGGAAGACATCGCGAGAGGCAACCTGGGAAAAATGAGACATACAAATGAAAAATTCATCTCAGCAG